GTTTGGGGGGTAGTACTATACTCTGATAAATATTTTTACTTATGTATTTTAACTGAAACACCGGCTTCATTTACAAAATGCCTGAGTCCGRAATTGAGACTACAACGTAAAAAGCAGTTGAAGCAAGCTCACCTCTGACACTCCTTCATGCCTCAGAGCGAGATAATAACAGATCCAGGCAGGCGACATGATGTGAATAAAAAGGGGAAAAAGCAGTCCTGCACCTTAGTAATGATACCAAACTAATGACATTAGTGTGTGACCAGGCCGCTCCTTGAGATACAACAAACACATGTTCGTCTGTAATGGCTGCCGTCTACCGGTGTTCTAAAAGTTTGTATCCCTGAAAAAAAGTTTCCCCACCAGAGGGGCGCTAGCGAGTAGGAAGTAATCTGCTTTTCCCCAACAAGATGGCCCAAATCTCATGTCAGAAGTCTCCGACTTTTGTGTTAGAGCATCCTGGTGGACTATGTATAAAATGCCAGAATTCATATAATGCTGCTACAGCTTATATACAGTATATTTTTGTCAAAAGAATCTTTAGTACATATGTTGTTAAAATAAAAAGAACAGTCCAATGATCATTTTACATTTTTGTATAAAGACTGCAAAGGCTGAAAAATCTTGAAGTCTGTATGAAATTGGAGGTAGTTTGAGGATTAAATTTTTCATGCTTTTTAAGCTCAAAAAAGGGGGGTTGTATTATACATGAGATCGTATTATACATGAATAAATACGTTAGATAAATAAATAAAAGCATCCTTATCTCATTTCCACTAAATGCTACAAATAGTATTATATTTTCTCAATGATTCATTCTGCAGCTCATTTTTGACATGTCGGACATCTGGGTGAGTTAGAGGCTGCAGTTTTGTTTCTGAATCAGATGAAAGTCTGGCGTGGAGGGGAGCGGAGCTGCTTTAATGTCATGTGTCACACACTTGTTTTGTTTATGCCCCCTGTTTGACTGCCTCTCACTGTGTAAAAGCTTCGAGGGGGCCTTCACTCGCCTCCCTTATTTGATGCATATTGGTCGAGTGAACTTACAGCTTTCCAGTAAACAAAACGGCGCAGGTTTTAAAGAAAGCGCTGCAAACATTTGCGCTAAGAATAAACTAAACTCACCCTCAGAGAACTTCAGCTGCACGCTGAGTCACTGAATACTCAGGCTTCTGCTGACGTCTCATTGACGTTGTTTAGAAAGTTAATTTGACCTTTTCAAGCCTTCTCAAGTTGATGTGTTTCATATCATGAGCTTCAGACTCACTTTTTTTTCTCCTGCTGCTGAGAAAGTCTTCATTTTCAACAACACATTGGAGAGTATTTATCTGGAGTTCACTGCATGGATAAACATCTGCAAAATGCTCAAAAAGGTTAAAGAGGATGTGTATTCTATTCTATATTCTATTATAAGAAAAATCTGTCGATTCAGGAACAGCGAGGCGGTGCTCGAGTTCATTCAAGCCAGCAGTGTTCGATGAGGCTCGTTTATTTTCAGAGGAGGGACTCGTTAAAGATTGCATGCATTCTGAATGGTTTTATAGCCCATGTTCCACTGCTCCCTGATCAAAAACTCTCTTCCCTTTTGTTTTTATTTCCTTTTTGAAAATTAAAGTTTGAGTCAAAACTATCTCAACTTTAAACCATAGAATATATTTTGATGCACGTGTGAAAGACAGCTCATAGAATCTTTTTAKTTTTCACACAATTGCCATCATTTTAAAGGTTTTCTGTGCCTCTTTCATGACAGGAAGTCAGGAGAACTGGTTTACAAGTTCATGAGTAGGACGACCATTTATGGACGGGAGGAAGATTTACCTAAAACATGTGGTGTTATCTTTAGAACTATAAATATCTTAAAACATTACGGGAATAAATTGCTAATGAAAGTATCCTGTTTACAGCAGAATAATAACACGAGACACTGTCAACATGGTGTAGGCGGGTTTGAACTCAAACGGGGAAATCTTACATTTATTTTAGACTACAGCGTGTAACCTTTTATTTTAGTGTCATAACGAGTTGTTTTACAGGAATTAATTTTGGTTTTAAGGTCAGGAGCTGTGCAGGGGAATCAGATAATTACTGAGCTGCTTTCCAGTTAAATTACACACAGTCAAAAGTTTCAGTCATAAGTTCTGACCTCAGCAGAGATCATCGGCTAACGGCCTCCACGTGCTCCATCCAAACTGCCGAAATCTGCTCTCGTTGCAGTTTTAAGACAAAAATCACACCATTTTCTTTATTTTATAACAACTATATACAAAACAAATTAGTAACATCAAGCCTGGTTTGAGGTGTAAGGCATGAGAATAATGTAGAAATCAATCAAATTAAAAGATGGCCTCGGTAGGTTACAAATGAAATTCATTAAAAAGTGTTTTGGTCTTTAAAGCATTCACATTGGAACAGTAATTTCAAGTGGACAGATAGGAGGATAAATAGGCGTAAAAACTAAATTTGGGTTTTAGTTTACAAAATTTAATACTGTTATGAAATTTAGATCGTTTTAATGCTTAACTGTCAACAAAAACTTTCTTACTTGGAGTTTTCACTCCAAAAAATAAAAAAAACCTTCAAACAGTAGGTTATCTAAAACTATAGTTTTAGAAATAAACGGTAGGTCCACATCAAACTTTCTGTGCACAAACAACATGTGTGGAGATTACACAGGATAGCATCTATCCAGAATCTTTTCAGAGTGTAGAGTCCAGCAGGAAGGAGGAAGGACCCCCGTGATGTATACCACAGCAGGAGGGGTTTCCCAGGAGCTCGGCGCCGTGTGTCTTGGGTGAGATGCAGTGGTGGGCACCAGTCCGCTAAAGCGCAAATTCGCTAATTGCGGACCTAAATATTTCCTTTGCACTTTCGCGGTCTTACTAGTTTTTATAATTCATTAGCAGATTTGCRCTTTCTAAAATTAAAATGCAGTACCGCTAATAACTAATTATCTTTCAGTCATATCTTGAACAGCAGAAGGTATGGCTGTCAATGAATCACCACACACATGATCTACCCAACAGCGCCCCTCCCAGATAAACACACTTATTGGAAATGTATACATCCTTGCTGACTGTTGCTCTTGGTCACGGTTCTCATTTCCCACAATGCTTTGTGTCTGCTTACGTAGCAGGAAGGCAATGTTTAGTACTCTTTCTCAGCAAAAACAGTAAACATTTGTAATCCATACTAAAAAATTTTTATGTATTGATTTATTTTACTTTACAATCGGAGCTCCGTTTTTTAAAAATAAAGTTTAAACGCTGGAGCTCAACACTTGACGTAATTTGTCAAAGCAATCTGCCAACGGGGTTAGACAGACATCTAGCGGTCAGCTGGAGCAACCACATGGAAAACTTTTGTTTCCCGTCACAAATCAAATCCGTCATGTACCCAGAATGCATCGCTTCAGTTTTCAAATAAACAGTTTAAAAACTGCTTTATTGATGCTTCTTTAATGAATAATCTACAACAAACAAAAGACAAAGAAGCAGCCGAACTAGCAATCCTCAACAACTTTTTAAAGAAGCAGCCGAACTAGCAATCCTCAACAACTTTTTAAAGAATCAGCTGACTAGCAATCCTCAACAACTTTTTAATTTTTACATCAGGAGCTAAAGTTCTGTTTCAGGAAATCCCAACCCCAGCAATCGGCGCTTGTAAGATTAAGCTGTACATGGGTTCATACACCACTAGTTGGCAGTGTTGTGCATATATTGTACATGAATTGTTGCCAGTTAGTAAGTGTCAAATTGAACTCGTGCTTTAGAATTAGCTTCCGCTAATTTTTCTATGGCATGAGCGTTTTTGAAGTTGCGGACCTAAATATTTTCATAAGCGCTTTAGAAATTGCAGAGCTAATTTTTGGGTTAGCGCTGCCCACCACTGTTTATATGAAATGTTTATGAAAGCGAACATCGAATGACCATGTGACCGAGCGTCGACTGTTCAGCTGTGAATGGAGCATGTGGAGAACTTTAGTGAACATCGTCAAAAATGCAAACATGTTAAATTCATTTTCAACCTCATGAAATTAAACAAATGATTTAAACATATAGAAAATGCATTTTATTGCCTATTATATACCTAAGTACATATGAATAATAAATATGAATAATAAATATTGTTAAAGCAGTGCAGAACACATCTGTAAACTAACTTTAAAGGTAGTTTTTCCTAACACATTATGTAGGTTAGTGTTGCAGTCGTTCTCTACTTTGCATACTAAATGGGTTTTTACCAGCAAGCAGAAACATATGGCTCAAATTATCGCATGGAAAAATGTTGTTTGTATGGAAGCGAAGCACCATTTGCTCAAAAACAAGGAAGTCAAGGTTTATGAAATACTTGTCATGCTTGCTTTTGTTGTATTTGACACCACACATATACAGCTCTGCAGAGGATGATGACTCACTGGTGAAATTATGCCTCTCCGATGATAACTCAGGTTCGCAGAACAGAGAATGCCAGCGTTTTGAAACAAAAGCATAACAGTTGGGAAAAACGACCCAGATGTTGATCACGGAGGTTGGCAATGTCAGTTCTTTTTAAACAGACACTGTTACTTTAACTACCAGGGAAGCAAACAAGTTTGTTTTTCTTAGAAAAAGTGGAAAATGTGATTCCGCTATGAACTTATCAGTGTTATTTTTTTCTAAAACGGGACACTTGATTCATCACGGTTTACAAGATCTATAAATATTGTCATCATTACGCAGAAGATGGATTAAAGCGAGCAGTCACGCCTGTTTTAATTCGTGAATCATCTGTCCAGTGGGATACAGACCAGCTCCTTTTCAATGCCTCTGAATTATGATCAAAAACAGGGCTGACGTTATGGTGGAATCTTGGAAGGTAATCTGAGATTTGTACAGAGTATTAAAGCACGGTCACGAATGTGAACAAAAAAAATCTCATTTTGGTCATTCTTTATATTTGAGAAATAAAAATATGTGGTGAGAAATTTTAAAATGTTAAGATTAATGAAGATATTTTTAATTTATTTAACACCTAATGTGTTTTTTTCTGTAATTCAACTCTTTTGATGCCAAATAGCCCTCAGTCTTTCTTTTTTAAACCTTATCTCAGGAATGGGCAACCTAAATGATGGAAGTGGCCACAAGTTTTTGGTGACACTTACCCATATGTAATGAAACTGCCATTTTAAAAATATTTGTGTAAGTATATGTTTATTAAACCAATAATAAAAATWAATAAAAATCATTTGAAGCAAACAAAGAATGAACACAAGTGAGTCAAAATGCAACAGCATAAGATGCCTTGAGTGCAGACTCTTGCGTGGTTGTGGTTCTGGTAAATATTTACATACTTAAGAATTCAGTAAACTTCTCATATTTAGATTTGTGCAACGTGTTGTAGTGGAAACTTAAATTAAAATCCTTCATGGCAGACAGAGTCTCTAAGCCAACTAAACACAAAGTAAAATTAAATTCTGTGAACAGATACCTCCCAAATGAAAAAAATTCTTTGTTTTTTCAATTTCATTTTTTTTACTTAAAATAACTCTTAAAGCAGCTCTTAAAGTCCTGTCACACTAATGTTTTAGACAACTAATGCTAACTTCTGTTGTTTTTTTGTCTAAATTACTAATAAAAGTTGTATATTTGATCATTTGTTAGTGTTACAGTATGGACACGCCCATAAGAAGCTTAGTTGATTTTTTAAAAATTCCTTCTTCAACAAAGATTTCTTTAAAAATTTCATAAGTAAGTTTGGTTCATAAGTTTTAAAGCGTCACAGTGTGACAGGGCCTTAGTTTTTTTTCTGCTTTTTTAAAGTAAAGAAAAAAACATAAAAAATAGGGGGARGGGCTTCATTGGCGGGCCAAACGGAAGTCACCCATGGGCCACAAACAGCCCGCAGGCCACCACTTGCCCACCCCTGTCATATGCAATTAAGCATTTTAATGTTTGGATCTTCTCACCCTCTCTTCAACAGAGGTTGAAAAGGACCTGGCCAAACTGGCAGAAGTGGGGAAGATGACCTCTCGGAGCTCCAACAATCCACACGGCAGCCTAGTCCACAACCCTTTACACCACCGAGCTCTACCTGACACGCTTCCTCTGGCCAGCCTCGTCTCCAGACCTCAGTCTCCCAGTTTCTCAGCCAACCCTTGTGGCGTTGGCCTTCCCTTGCTAAGCCCCAAGTCCACATCCCTGACCATGAGTCGGACTAGGTCTCCCAGCAACCCTGGGAGCAGGACTCAAACCCCCAGAACCCCCAGCAGGCCCTTGACCCCAACTAGCTTATTGACACGCTCCACATTTAACACTGGATCTCATAAAGAGGTGACCTTCAGGAGGTCGCGAAGCCGCCCCGTGACACCCACAAGTCAGCCGATACTGCCTCGACCGCTGCTCACCCCTCCAGGTTTGAGTACTACAGACAGCCTTGGTGCCAGCCTTCGGGCATATCTGTCTGAGGTAAGACCCCAAACAGAAACCAGTTTTCACTTTTTGTTCATAACTCGCATAAATACATCAGTGGGTAATGTATCGGTCATGTTTGTTTGGTGCAAGATTGCTTTAAATGTCTATTTATTTAATTAAAACAAAAAAAAACTTTATTAATCCCAAAGGGAAATAACAGTTTGGGACAACCCTTTCAAGAGAGAGACAAAAAACACAAACAAACATGGGGAAACAGGTGCCCCAGGTCCTGAAACCRTAAAGAAGCACTACCCTTAAAAAAGAGAAAAGAAAAGCCAACATAGGGATGGATGAGGATAAAAAAAGAAAATAATTTAAAGATAGTTTTTGAAGGCAGCAACTGGGACAACACGTCTCCAACTTAACATTAAAGGAGACGTGTGATGCTTTTAAATCCTTCTTTTTCTCATTTAAATCATTCAGTTGGGGTCTACATAAAGTGGAACTGTAATGCTTTGGTCTGAATTCCTCCTTATTGTAACTCCACAAGCCCCTCTTTCACTCTTTTTCTAAGTTGTTTCTCAGATCAACTCACTTTGACGCTGTCTCTTTAAATCCAAACTTCGCCTCTCTCGCCCCTAGTTTGGTAGAGGGTCACTATATAGCAGTGCAGAAACATTTTCATTTACAAATAAATAAAAAGACGTCAACAAGGGAAGACCCAGAGTCTGACCCAGAGCCAGAGGAGAATGAAGACCGCCAAATTGTAATTGGTAAATCCAGGCCTTATTTGGCAGTTCTGTCGCAAATACTGTGAAGTAAGAGTTCAGAAAATGTCATAGAAAATAGAGAAAATGAAATGGGTTAAAAACTATGGTCCTAACAGAATATAAAGATATCTGTGTTTCACCTGGAGAGACTAAATTACACTAGGGCTACTCCAAGGACACAACAATATGTATTTAACGGCTGAAAAAATTGGAATTTGCATATGTCCCCTTTTTAAAGTATCTTATTGTATCACATTTCCACAAGTTATCTAAGCATAAAACCTTAAACAATAAACTTGGCCTTTTTCTAGGAAGGGGAAAACTGTCTTTATGGGTATTCTGGTTTTACAAATCTATTTAAAAAATGTGTGTGGGGATGTGAAAAGGCATTCCTGTCGACTCTTTCGTGGACAGGAGACGTTCTGGCACTGCACCGTGACTGCCTGAAGATAGTCATGACAAGACTCCAGAAAGTATGAGCCATGCAGACGAAAAGCCCAGCACATAAACCACAAATTGTTATTTTTGCACTTACTTTTTGTGTATTTACTTAACTTCTAGACAGAAACAGTCTCGCTGGTTTCTCGTGCCTCTGTAGCAATCCTGAAATCTTTGTGTCCTGGCTGGASCTTTTTGTGGGGCCAATACTTTAAGAGGGCACAAAACACTTCTTGTTGAACTATTTTTTTTTTCTTAAATAGAAATGGCCTTTTTTGTGATAATTTGTTTATAAGGTTGCGGTGAAACAAGTGTTGAAACGAGATGAACCTTTGAGAAAGTGACTCACTTTCTGGTAAAGGGTTAGAATAATGAGATAAAACTGTATTTCCAGGAAAGCTGCCTGCAGAACACGAGCGTTGCTCGTGCACGACCCCGTTTAAAACGCTTCGTGTGGGGTTTAGCAGAGCATCGTGGAGGTCTGTACAGTAGGATGTCATTTCATTTTGGAAAAATGAGCCTGGCATTAAATAACTACTTTCAGAGGGATCTCTTTTCATATTTTCCTTTCATGATTTACTTAACAGCAGCCCTGTTAAATTGGAGCTGTTTTTGAAGGCTTTCTTAACGACGGCCAGTAGCTTTACAGTCCCTTTGTAAACTTTTTGACAGTTATACCAGTTGACACCTTGCGACATGATCCAAAACCTTATTCCAGTGCACCCAGTCTGCTTTTATTGAGGCCACCTGTTCCCTTATGGAAGAGCTGAAGCCTCAAAACTTAAAACCATACAATGCAGGATCAGCAAAAAGAGAGAAAAAATGGGGAAGCGGAAAAAAATCTTTTTTTTTTTGTCTTTCTATCGATAATTCCATTAAAGCAGTTTTATTCGTTACATTTTTCATAGGGTTACACATTTTGCAACAATGCGTATTATTATTATTATGTGGTAAATTTGACCTTTCGGATGATTAAAATTTTCAATTTTTATTTGTTTTGATTTTACAACCCTGTAGTCCTTTTTGTGGTGCCATCACGTAATCACTGCCGTTTATTTTGTTGTTGTTTTTTTTAAACAAGACAAAGACATCAGTTTAAATCTAGTCACTATATAAAATGTGTTTACAATTTGTGCCACAAAATTCTGGAACTGTGGSTAAGATCTAAACTGAAGCAAAGCACAAAAACAGAAGAACTGACACATCTGGTACTGAAAGTGAGRAGCAAAAACATTTAAAAACAAATGAGTTAAGTATTGAGCACTGAGAAAAACAAACACATAAACTGGGTGTTTTTTTCCCCCTTTTTTAATCATTGAAGAATTTCCACTGCTCTTCTGGTACAAACATCAAATTAAACATTTATTTCCAAAACAAGAAATTGTTTAGGCAACAAAAAGCCACATAATGATTTTTTTTTGTTATAGTTTTTTTATGAATCTAGATTTGATAATTCAAATTTCTCACTGCTGAAGACATGTTTCTGTTTTAGGTAGAAATGATTATTCTGATGTTTTGCAGGGAATAATGAATATCTTACCTGCTGTAGATGGTTCTTTGATGAAGGCCTGTTTTTCAAACCCAAAGAAAGAGCTAATAGCTTGTTCAAGAACAAAGAATTGCTGCCATCTTAAAACAACTTTATTTTATTTGCATTACACAGTTATTTTAAAGCGGGGCGGCGGGGGGGGGGGGTGATATGTAAAATCAGCTTTTTTGAGCTTTATTGCATAGTTGCATAATGCATAACCCCCCCCCCCCCAAAAAAAAATGTAATCAATTAAAATAACTTTTTTGTTGTTTGTGGCAAGTGGAGATAGAAATAGAAACAGCCTTAGCCGTGGCAGCAGCTAGCTGTAGTACATCATGTGTAGCCTGCGGCACTTTCATCAGAAAAACTATGGTATTTTTGATAGAGTAAGTGTGTATTGTGGCAGTGACAGAGGTGTAAAAGTTTTTCAAATTGTCTTTACATTAGTCACTGTGACACTTTGAGATTGGAATTATTTAGAGGTTACAACAATCTATGTTGGTTTTGCTTCGGTTAATCAGTGAGAAATAAACCCTCCAAACTGAGGCAAATAAAAGCTCTATCTAAAACAGGTAAGATATTGTGTATAATGACCTTTCTACAGAACCCCATTTCGAAACATCAGAACTATAATTATCATGCACACATGAGAACTACACAGTCTCAAAGATTCCTCAACTGCTGAGAGTCTTTATTAAGCTGTTTTCCATGTCATTTTTTTACCGGTATTTACATAAATTATAAATAATTTTAGTGTTTTATCAACTCTGTGTTCTTTTTCCATTTCAGGATGAGTTTTACCAGCAGTTACAGGCCATCAGACAGCCTTGGCATATTCCCAGTGACACAGACAGTGACATCCTGGAGCCTCCAGAACAGGACAAGAGTGAGCCATTTACTTTTCACTCTCTTCTTCTTGTTTTTTTTTTTTTTAACTCTGCATTTTATTGTCTCTCCTATGATTTGTGCTCGTGTTATAGAAATCAGTTATTCACAGGTTATTTAAAAAAAATGTGAGTTTGTCAAAGTCTCTCAAGCAGATCCTCAGCTCACAAATCTCTCTTTAATGTTTTTACCTTCCTGCATCTGGCTCGTTTCATCGTGTCACTCTGCCCTAATAAATCACAACTAGAAAAAAAAAACATTCTTAAATACTTTCTAAATGCTTTCTAAATAGAGCGCGGGGCAGAAAATTTCCATATTTTACCGTTGGGCGAAATCCTTGAGGAGTTCTGAAACTGAGAAGTTGTCATGTAAAATTTTCCTTCCTGGCATCATGTGAAAAAAACAAAAACTATTAGGATTTATTCGATCGACGTGATTGATAGTTATTGAACATTGTAAATCTTTTTACAGAGAATGGTCTGGCTGCAGTACAATAAACATAATACTCCAGCTTTGAACATGACGGACTCGGATCAGCCCCTCACCGAACTTTCTGCTTTGTAAATCAAATAAATGCACGTGGCAGTTTGGTCCGTTGTTCTGAGCCTCACTGGAGTGAAACTAAGTACTTTTCATTTCACTAAGATCCACTAAGGAGATGTCAGATTTATGCTGTTTTATCAATTGTTGTCATAAAGCTGAATTTATGCTTCTAGGCATTTGAATTAAAAAAAAATGCTGAGGAAGCATCAAACTCATAAAAAATGTTCAAGTTTACAGTGCAAAAGGTTGACAATTTATTTAATAAAAATATTTTAACCATTTCCTTTACATCTTTAAAATCTGTTTCTTATTTTTCTGGACACGTGTGTGTTTCAAACAGAAATTACAAGCCGACTAAACTTCCAAACTAATATCATTTGACGTTCAGTTGTCAACTCCTCTTGTTCTGAAGCGACGCGCTGCATTGATCTTTAGTCATATTTCCTAACTGTCAGCCCGAGCCTGAACATTATACCTTTATTTGGCCAAAAAATGCTGATTAATTAAGGAAATAGTCAAACAAAAAAGAAAAAAAGAACTTTTCATGCTTCTCAAATGAGTGTAAAACTGTTTTTAGAGTAAACACAAAATCTGCATCCGTCGCTCAAACTGAAAATGAACTGCACGTGGGATTCAAGAAGGCAACTTTCGTTGATGCTATGACACAAGAATTTGCGTCAAAAAAAAAGATCAAGCAAGCGTATGGTTGTCACACAGAAATATAACCCCTCTGACAAGTTCCTCTGAAGGGTTCTTGTTTTGCCAAATGTGTATCTTGCACAATAAATGGATATGTTATCCTAATAACCCTTCGGGGCCCGCTCGGAGCCTTGGCAGTGGTGATGGCGAGTAAGAAAAAAGGATTTGAAGCACATATTGAATTAGACGTGGCTCAGAGAGTGGAGAGAGACGAGAAGAGAGCCCCAGCAGCCACAAGACGTGACAAAGCACCTTCTGGTGTGAGAGGATGCCTGCAGGAGTCTGGTTTGTGTGTCACTGCGTGAGTGTGTGAGAAGGGTTTTTATTAGTCAGGATAAGAGTTGAAAGATGATTTTTAAGGAACACTTTTGCTCTTTAATCTGATACTTTTTTTATTTTTATTTGTTTTGCTAGATTTTCTTTCAGAGACTAGAGGCTGTTTTTTTGTGTTTGCTTTTCCAGTTTTTATGTATAAATGTTAGTTAATATAAATAATTGTGTTTCCCTAAAGTCTAAGGTCAGACTTGTTGACTCAAAGCCATAATTAAACTGGATTAGTGATTTAATGAGGTCTTTCCATAGTAGGAAACGGAGAAGGAAAAGCTAATTGACAAACTAGAGAAAAGGCTTTTTTTATTTGTGAAACTACAATGTGAATGCTGAGTGAATTTTTTAAAGTTTTGTGTGTTCTTTAAGCAAAAAAGCTGAAACTAAAGTTGAAACAACAAAAAGATAATCTAAGCTATAAGCTAAAAGGAGCGCAGCCATACAAAGAAAGCTAAATGTTGTTTAACCGTGGCTAAAAGTTCCAACTAGAAGACATGAGCTAAAAGCTGAAATAGGCTAAACAGCAGATAAAATTGACAAAATAGCAGCTGTAAGATAAAAACAGCAAAGAAAGCTAAGGGCAAAAAACAGCAAGGCTACAGCTAAATTCTAAAATTAGCATAATCATTGCTAAAACTTTAAAATTAACTAAATGATATGTAAATACTAAAACTGCTAAAATATTTACAAAAAGCTAAAATGAGCCAAACAGTAGCTGGAAGCTAAAAGGTAGATTTTAATGCAAAAACAAAACAAATATGCAGATTTTTTTTTAAAAAAGCAATGTTTTAAAGGAATTTAAGAGATATTCATGTTAAGGTAATATCAAAATTGTTAATATCAATTATTTTTTGGGGAAATCATATTTTAAGTAAAGTTAAAAAAAGTAAAGTTTAAAAGGTACAAACATCAAGTCCTAACACACTATAGCGTTCATCTTTACTGGCTCACTTACTCACCTAACTGGAAGTATTTCTAATAGCTCAAAAATAAATACCACATTAAAAGAAACTGAATGTTTTAACATTTCTAATTCATTTCTTCTGGGAGGAATCTGCAACACGACTGTCTGAACACATACTGAGCTGCACGTCATTAATTACAGATAAAACTCTCCAAACTGAATCACAGCAGATGTGTCTGAACTGAGAGCTAAATAATGGTGGAAAATCCAAAGCCGTTTCCTGTTATTCTATAAAGCTTCCACAAAGCGTCAACCACACATTCCACAATGCAGATGAAAGTTGGTCTTTTTCTTTCTCACTTGCTCACAATTCTGTTTATACTGCAGCACATTCATGAATTCAATATCCCCTATGTGCGCAGTTAATAAACTTACTAAGATTTCTTTTTTGTGTGTCTGTTTATGCTTCATTAATTATAGTGGTGGCTTTGTATTATTTATATGCAAATCATCACATAAACATTTGTTAGATTTGTGAACATATTGACTGAACATGTACGTAATTAACATCTTTTAAAGAAAAACAGACCGGGCGTAATGCATTGGATTAGCTCTAACTTCTGCTGTATGTTTAAAGCACAATGTCTTTGGAATGACTCAGCATAATTATATGCTTGTTTCATTTTGGGCTGAGATGACTGATGCCATTCTGACACTTGTTGGTTATTTCTGTTCAACAATATGGAGTTCAAACCTGCAAGTAAATCCAACCAGCTGTTTGCTCTGTCGTATACCTCAGACCAGCACAGCAACCGTTGCCCACAATGACGAAACTGTTCCTTAAAGAGAGAGTTCAGTGTGTTTTAATGGGTTTCTGTGAAGAGATTATAAGTAGCCTGCAGTCTGTTTGGAGAAACAAAAATTTCATGTAGGAGTCGAGCTAATGACTGTTCAGACTGGACATAGAGTATGGAACGGTATCAGGGCTAAAATTAAGATTATTGCTACATCCTTCTAGCAGAAGGCTATATCTATTCCTAAGCCAGATATTGATCTCATTAATAGGCTGGCACTGGTAACTGAGAGGTCAATGCTGGCAAATCAGAAAGAAACTATTCATCTGAGTTAAAAACAGAGAAGCTAGCGATTAACATGGATAGGCTGGCGTAAAGAACACCTGTCAGTGCATGTCGCTTATAGTCTTTGTTGAGTAAGTTTTCTTTATTCATAAAGTTTGTGTCTAACATTGTAGGTGACCAGCCTAGGCATGTTAGCCACTAGCCTCTCCAATGCTAATGCCAGCTTATCCATGCTAGTCACTAGCCTCTCCAATGCTAACACCAGCTTATCCATGCTAGTCACTAGCCTCTCCAATGCTAACACCAGCTTATCCATGCTAGTCGCTAGCCTCTCCATTGCTAACGCCAGGTTATCCATGCTAGTCGCTAGCCTCTCCATTGCTAACGCCAGGTTATCCATGCTAGTCGCTAGCCTCTCCATTGCTAATGCCAGGTTATCCATGCTAGTCGCTAGCCTCTCCATTGCTAATGCCAGGTTATCCATGCTAGTCGCTAGCCTCTCCAATACTAACCCCAGCCTAACCATGCCAATGGACAGCGAAGGGTCTTGGCAATCCAGTGGGTCGCTAGCCTCTCCAATGCTAACACAAATGAATAGTATCCTTCTCATTTGCCAGCACCGGCTTTTCAGTTAAAGATGCCTATCATTAATCGGATCAATCGCTGGCTTAGGAATAGATAGCCTCCTGCAACAAGGATGTAGCAACCGCTGGTTGAGCAATAGTCTTAATTTTGGCCCTCATACCATGTTAAAGGATGTAAGTCAATTGAGAATATTCAAACCTTTACATTTTTTGTGAAATTGAATGCATTATTTTAAAATGAGAACATTATAAAAAAGTTGTAACACAGAAAATGTATTGCAGTGTACCACACATTGTGTTTTAATGAAGAAAAATGTATGTAAATAACTGATGATACAAAATAATTTCTTTTTAATTTTCTGAGATCTGACAGCTGTCTTCTGCATATTTAATATTGACTATTCATATCCTGTCCACAGAAACACACTTCAGACAATCCAGACTATATTGTTAAGACTTGGTACGTTGTTTTGTATAACTGTGTGACTCTTGTATTTGTTTATTTTACAGGTGGTTCACGGGATGGCAAGAGATCAGTATTTTCAGGTGAGATTCTGAACAGATACAGTCTTAAACGTTCAGAAACGGCTAAACTTCCTTATTATTTGGTCCATAAGACTTAGATCAGATCAGTGTTGTAAGCAACAACTTAAATCAGAGAAGACCTCGGTGCCTTTAAATGACCTCATTGCTAGAGCCATAACATGTTACCCAAATAACCACCCTGGAAGCCTCCACCTTCATTTATGGCTGAGTAGATTACCGTCACAGGCTAAATGGAGGGCACAGTGGCTCTGACGCGGGATTGGTCGAGGCTGCCTGTGTGTGGAGACGTGCACGCCGAAGCCCAGTTCCATGAAGTCATTTTGGGTTTTGAGTTTACACCAGACAGCGTCGACTTACAGCATCAACATTTAGGCGAAAGAGAAAGTCTGTCTGGTTTGAGGTCGTCTGTKGTTCCCCCTTCTTGTGGCTTTCGAAGGTGCCCACAGTTCCCAGTGAGAGTGTGCCAGTCTGGAGGGAGATCTGAGAGCCGGCTTTCGCTGCTGCTTGGCTATCAGCAAGGCTGGCGCATTGCCACAGCAACCAAACTCAAAGCTCACCACTGTCCCGTGAAATCTCCCGTCTCGTGAAATATGGTGACTGGAACCTCCACCGTGCTGCCTCATTTTCCACCTCACGCTTCTCCTTTACATGTTCAAACATTAAAAGGCTGTTTTATGATAATTGCCTCAGTTATTATTCCAGTTAGTGGTTTGATGTGTCTGATTTGTGTTTCTAGGAGACTGATGTTTGTGTCTTTCATATTTCACAGGCCTATAGTGATGGAGACCAGAGGCATCGATCCAATCAAACTATTATGCAAACCACTGGACATTTTGAATATGTGTGAACAATTATTTTTATAAAGCATAAGAATGGGGGGGAAAATAAGATTGTATACTTTTTTCATCAAAATTTCATACACAATGTACTGTAACTGTATGATAAACTGGGAAAATCTTACTTGAGAGTTATGCCATTTATTTTTGTTTGCTCTATAGCATGAAGTTAAAAAGTCCACATGGAAACCAGAAAACAGATGCATTTTGTTGCTGATGAACTTCCTCCAGACCTAGATTGTACAGATGGTGTGAGGACAGCACAAAATGAAAGTGTTTATTGACATGCACTGTTACTTTTTTTTAAGATAGCAAATAAGCAAATTGTTAAGGGAATACATGGAATGCCGTTATATTTATTAAAATGATTTAGTGCAGTTGTCTGGTTCATTGCCATAATGTACAATTTTTTTTATAACGCACAATCTTACTGTGGTATTTAAAGTTTTCTGAATTCCGGTAAAACACACGACCCATTTCCCTGGAGGTTGTGTAAAATGTAATTAAAACCAGGACGCAAAGATTTACCAACGCAGAATTAATTGAAAACACTTCGAGACAACATTACACATTAACAAAGGAATCCATTTTAGAAAAATTTCAAGGATCTTTTCAAAAAGTCAGCTTCAAATTTAGTTTATGTCTCAGAGCCCGTGAGACATAAAAAATAAATAAGATTAAATAATCATCTCCCAACTTGCTCTGCTGCTAGAAATACAGCAATTTCCCCACCTCTCTGTTATTTCCGCCTCAGCCCCACACCCTGCAGGTGAGTAATATGGATTTTATTTCTGAAAATTACAGATTTTCGAGGGTTGTGATTCAGGTAAACTAGTCCCTTTAAAACTGCAGCAGTCTGTTGTTGTGTTGGAACTTTTAATTTGCCAGTCTGTTCAAAATTCCCCTCTTTCCTTCAAACTTATATCTTACAAAGTAGTATCTGCAGCTGGTAGGATATTAATTGTTAATAACTTCTCAGTAGAACTCCACTTTAAAAAATATCTGAGCAATAACCTTCCTTTTTTTTAAGATTCTAGATTTCTTTTGGTAAATTTACACTACAAAAAAAAGAAAACAAAAATGAAACAATTTTACAAATACGAATCAATAATTTACCAAAAACGGAGTAGGCTGAAGCCAAGGCTTAGACTTGCCTACCCTAACAGTAACCTAATTTTTTTCACAAAATTTGTTTTAAATAAATTTGAGGTTTGCATATTTTGTTTTTTTTCCCTTCAGCCTCCAAATAAGGTCATAAATTCCACTCATGAGAAATACGAGTGATTTTATCCAGATACATGATCCGTCAACCCATTAGTCACACTGAGGCTCTGACAGACAGAGAAATCTGCACTGACCAGGACTTTAGCACTCCTGTGTGTTTTCCTGGGCATCTGTCTGTTAAACTGTGGTTGTCTGAGGGTTGCACAGCCGACGTCAGCTCCACAGGCACACATCACGGACACCGTCTGATCGCAAAGTTCAACCCCTCGGAGCCCTGTGGTGAGATCCACCCAGTCGTGCCAGCTTTTTGAGACCGTCCTTCGGGATGCGGTCAACAAACTACTCTGATGTTGAGTCTCCTTTTTTTCCCTCTCAAAAGGATGTGTGAGAAGACTAATCACTAAAACCTCATCCTGTAAAACATGGTATTTAAACTAACGTCCTGTGTAAATGCGTTGCGTTCTCTTTGGAAGAGGATGTGGGTGGAAGATATGTGCGGGAAATTCAAGACGCTGTATAATTTAGTCGCAGCAGTGCCTTGATTTAATCTTTATAAGACTACAGTATAAACAATATTTTCCTGTTAGAAAACTGCAATGAGCATGGCAAGACATTTCCCCTTTTTTTGTTTGTGCTTTTTCACTGTGCCAGTAAGGCATTGAATGATCTGTAATTCCACAGATTACCAGCATGCCATTTCCATTTTTTTACTCTATATTTTCTCTGAATTCATATTTTTGTCAGATGAAGGTGAAGAAATAGGCAAGAGGGTTTGAGAAACGGAGGCCTGAAACCACAGATGTCATACAAAGGCAGCATTCTGAAGCATTTTATTAGTTTTTCTACCAGTCAAACATTCAATTTAAATGATGTCACTTGTGATTCGACTGTTTATTACGAGAACGTTTGCTTGTTTGTGGCATTTCTATATTCATTTAGTAGGACAATAGTTAGAAACAGATAAAGTTTCATTATCAGAATGACCCTCAGTGATGTCTCAGTTTCATACATCAAGGCCCTTCTTTGAAAGCCACTGTAGAGGGCCCACCCAGGAAGAGGGTCCCACACCACTGTACTTACTGGGGGATCTGGACCACCATCAGTGGTCAGCAGACTGACCCATGTCTTGATTTACAACTGAACAGACGGATATTTACCCCAATTTACAGCACAAATAAATCTGTGGTGGATGTCTTATGTCCTTTGAAGGAGTATACGGTCTCAATTGTGTGTGTGTGTGTGTGTGTGAAGACATATTTGCTACATCATGGGGACCATTAATTAAACAAACACAGCCTTGTGGGGACTCAGTGCTCCTTATAGGGATCCATGGATACAGATGCTGATTTTGGGTATGGAGTTAGATGTAGGGTAAAGGGTCATGGTTATGCTGTAGAAATTACTAAGATAAGTGGAAGTCCCGATGAGAATATAAAAAAACAATGTGTGTGTACATGTCTTTGTATTGGTGTGTGCACATATTTTGACCTTGTGAGGACATTTTGTCTTTATGTGGACATTTGCCTGGTTCACACAATGGAAACCCTCATTTGTGGGTCAGGGCTTTGGTTTAGGGAAAGTGGTCTGGGTTTGGCAGTAGAAATTAATGCAAATCAATGACTGTGCAAGTTATGGGAGACGAATGTGTTTGTAAAGGTTTGATCAACTGTTTTTTTTATTTTTTATTTTTTCGTAGTCCAAAGCATTTTGTTCACATTTATTTGAATGTTTTGTATTTCCCCCATAAACTGCCACCTTCCATCCTTTCTTTATACTTGAAGCCGTTTTCATGATGGGTCTTTTTATTTTTATCAAAAAGCTGCACTATAAATAGTTTGAATAAGTTTTGGGTGGCTGTATACAAATTTATTTTTTGATGATTTTGATTCCTTCTTCATACAATATACAGTAAATTGTCCAGTTATATACTTAGCACAAAAAGTAAGGAAATTTGTCTTTGGCACATTATTTCTTAGCAGCACCTGGAGGAACCAGAAGCTCAAAACAAGAGTCAATGGCAACAGCAAAAAAAGCTGTTTGGTAGAGACGATTTGGCAATTTTTTCATGTGCGCAACCCACATACTCAGCTATACTGCCCACAAATGCGTGTTCCTTACAAATGTGGCACCATTTAATAGAGAGATATTTCAATACTATTAGATTTATTGCCTATAAAGCATTGTTACAACAAAGAAATAATCTACCAAATACAAATTTATTCATGTTTTGTGCTAACTTTATATGCAGTTAACTACAAATAAAATTTTATTAGTTTGGATTAAAGTTT